AAATGAATGACATTAATTTATAGCGACGGTGTGCTATAAGGTTCTGCTTAAGACTTGGGCACAGTGCAACGGAAACTCTTGCTAAACTTTAGCAGGCCTACGGCGATAGTGTTTTGTCAAGAGCACAGGTTTGTCGGTGGCTTAAGGCAGTTTGAGGAGGGAGCGAGTCGATTGAAGATGAACCGATGAAACTATGGACAGAATTCGGGATCTTGTGCGTTCAGATCACCGGTTGACAGTTAGAATGATCGGGGAAAACTTAAATTTGACTCACACCACCGTTTATCACATCAAAAATAACTGGGTGTTGCATCACGATAATGCTCCTTGTCACACACATGTCAATAAACGAGTTTTTAGCCGGTAATAACATTCCTGTGGCTCCTCAGCCTCGTTATTCGCCTGTGTCTTTTTTCTCTTCCCGAATTTAAAAAATCACCTTCAGAGAACTTAATTTGGGACAGTCGAAAACATTCAAATAGCTGATGTAATCGCCCAGCTGAAGGCAGTATTATCGGAGTTGCAGCAGTGCTATGGGGAGTGGATGATTGATTTTCAGCGCTGTGTGGCTTCAGTAGGAAGTTATTTTGAGGATTACAATATAAAATTGAAACTATATTTGGATAAAAATTAAAAAAAAAACAGTCTCATCACTTAATTTACGGACCTGGTGTTTTCTGCGTCCCTGACTTCTGGAACATACAAAAGTAGGCGTGGGAAGTAATAGTTAAATATATTCTCACTTTGAAGCTTTCAGATAGCATATACAAGGCACAGAACCTCAGGCTGTAGGAACTATACACTATCTAAAGTGTGAGATCTATCGAAATAAGACCCAACCAGTAGGCTGCAATTCACTGTTTACAGTGGTTGATTCTAGTGGTAGATAGTCCTTCCCTTCGATGTCCGAGAGGCCCTAGTCTAGACCATGCTGAGGAGTACCCAGAAAGCACGAAACAGCTGTCCATGATTGGCTGTCTCTGGCCGGATGGATGAAAACAGAGCCTGTTCATTTTAATCTATTGCATTTTTAATCAAATATACAATTTTACATGAATTAGTAGCGATCATGCCGAGAAGTACCTATACAAAACCTGTTTTGATCAGACCGCAAAATACAGGGAGTCAATGGTAATTTGCTTTTATAGATCGAAGTACCGCAAGTATCTATGCTAGGGCCAATACTATGTATTAATTTTATATACAAGCGTCTTACCCATACAACTTTCTTCAATGTATTCCGCCTATGCAGATGAAACTAAAGTCTACAATATCTCCTCAAACTCCGCTTCACTTCAAGCAGATCTCAAACTTATTGGTAAGTGGGCGAAACTTTGGATATTCCTGAATCTCTCGAAATGCTACGAAGTTTTGGGTGCAAGGTTGGTTATCATACCATCGAGGTTATTGCAAGCCATACAGATCTTGGTCTAATAGTTAATGACCGTAGGACCTGGCCGGAACACACAGAACATCACTTCAAATCCTGTTGTATATGATGGAAAGGTGCTTCAGCGGTTGCACTGTTAGTATTCCTGCTCCTTCCTATATAGAATCTTCGTACGGCATTTATTGAAATCTTCTACGTGATAGGGAGCTTGCTGTTTCAGCGTCGTACAAGACGTATGCCATGTTGTACCGTAGACCAACTTATGAAGACCGCCTTGAGCTTTTTAAGCTGCCTACTTTTGATGTCATCATCACTTTTAGAGCACTGTATAATTTGTTTGGTGTTGGCATGTCGCACCAGTTTCGTCTGTCATCGAATAGCATCAGAGGTCATACCTTCAAGTTGCAGAAGAAGAGAAGAGCTTCTACGCTTTCCATCTAAACGAGTTTTCCAAGGATGCAACAGTCGAGTTTATCGCCAGTAAAAACATTCATGTGACTCCTTAATCTTCGCTTGACTTGAGTTCTTTTGATTTTTTTGACTTCCCGATGTTGAAAAATCACCTCAAGGGAACTTATTTTGGGACAGTTGAGAATATTCAAACGGCTGTAACCGACCAGCTGAAGGCTATTCCAGTACCGGGATGCCAACACTGCTATGAAGAGTGGAAGAACCTTTTCCAGCACTGTGTGGCTTCAGAAGGAAATCATTCTGAGGGTGACAATATCAAATTGTAATTATATTTGCATAAAAAATTAAAAAATCAGTCTCATCACTCAATTTACAGACCTCGTATTAGTGCAGCTCTGAGTTGATTTTTATTCGAGACCTCATTTTGCAGCAAATTGAGCTTTCAAGAAACTCAAATATTTTTTGATAAGAAAAAAGTGGTCACCTGCTCAATTCTTCTATAAAAGTGGAATACTCACATTCAGTATTACCTGTATAGCTGTAATATTATCTGTTCGCAAGTTACAACTGAAGAAAAAATGCAAAAATAAAACACTAAAAATGCCAAAAAAGAAACTGATAATATTGTTTTTCTATCATCATTACAAGCTTTTATTCAACTTGACCTGTTTTTTGTATGTTAGTATGTATGTACACATACATATGTTAGTATGTGTGGAACAAATCCTGGAACGTTTGGGTTCAATTGAAACCATACATTTTAATTGTTATTCTGAGCTCCTGTGGGAAATTCATTTCACTCGCTCCTGGTAAAACACCTTGATAACAGTACATAATATTATATCGATGTGACGATCCTTGCGATAGTCCTGCTGAAACCAGATTCATCCTGCAACCTTGAAATCGACGCACGTTAGGAAGCTTTTCGCTGAAAAGCTATCCCTGTTTCGCTTCAGTCCAGCAGAAACTTCATTCGGAGTTGTTCCAGTTTACTGCGGTTTTCGCGAATCTCACGCTCCGCGTTGGTGAGGCCACGGGGTATTTTTAGCAAAATCTGAATGTTCCGATTTCACGTATACTTAGAGGTACTTTCGTGATTTTTTTCACACGCCAAAATGGCCGGTGATGAAATCGCTTTGTGACCGGTAGTTGAGATAGAAGTGCTATATTGGAGATTGTGATACTACCAGCAAGATGCCGTTCTTCAAGAAGAAAGCGGACAGAAGGAAATCTCTGTCTAGAAAAGAGATTTCTTTGGCAAGGCTTGAGAACTTCAGAAAAGAAGTCATCAGCGATCATCACATCTGTGATTTAAGTAAGTCAGTTTTGAGTTATCGGTCGTGTAAACAATATTCATTGCAAAAAAAAGTTCTGTGCTATTTTGATGTTTTATTTGCAGATCATCGCTATAACATTTTTGCAAAATGGAAATAAGAACAAATTATGTTCAAACGTATACCAAATGGAAGTTTAAGGTGAACTTTTAATGTTCGCAAAGTCTTAGAATAAACCTGCATTTATAAGGTCGTGACGTACAAGTTATTAAAGTTGGAGTTTTCGCATGGGATCAAACAGCCTAGAGACTCCTGTAGACTTTACCATAACAACATGCATCGATTGATTCATGAATTTGAAACCTGTATTCAAAGTAAAAATGATTTTTTTTAGCCTAGTTATTAGTCGACCAAGGATCTCAGAAGAAGAAGGAGAATAATTATATGTATATTTAAACTTTTAACGTTCTAGCATGTTTGTTGGACCTGTAGAATAAATGTTTTTGCATGTTCCTAGGTTGGAAGGAGCAACCACTAGATTTAAATATGTATTGACAAGCTTTAATTCAGTTTCACCTGTCTGTGTGTCTGTGTAATACTATTTTGCAATATAATTTGACATAACCACCATTGTCCGATTGAGCTGATATTTGGCATATACGTTTGGTTCATGTGACGATGCGTGGATGCTTGATCGCCGCCATGTTGAATGTAATATGGCTGACGTTACAAAATGGCGATTTGTTGTTTCAGTAGTAACCTCTATGATATGGGTATGAAATGAAAGGGCTTGAAGGGCGAAACACAATAACCAAAGTGACACCATTGTGCGGCTGCCACAAAATGATGAATTATAATTTCCATAGCAACCACTATGATATGGATATCGTATGGAAGGGCTTGATAAGCAAAACCCACTAACGAAGATGACATCATTCTAAATCCAATGTGGTGGACATAAAGATGGCGATTTATCATTTCCAAAGTAGCTCCTATTGATATGGATATCAAATGAAAAGACTTAATGAGCAAAATACAATAAGTGAAGTGACTCCATTATAAGTACAATATGGTGGACGTTTAACATGACATTGCAATCTCATTATGACATGGAACTGAATCGATGATGGTAGTACTGTGGTACTAGGGCCGGATGATCGAGTTATTCGACTATTACATGCAATACATACCTATATTTAATGATACCGTATCAATTTTCAGCTTTTTAACATTTTGATAGTACGCTAAAATAAAAATGCACTCTATTTCTTCGAATCATACTTGATGAACAATCATACTTATTCTATGGAGTTCGTGTCCTATATTTACGTAGTATATGATTTATATCGATCGAAACCTAAAGTAAGGGGATGTTCAAAGCTTTATTGATGAAATATGTAAATTGGATATGAGTTACTACTACTGACTACTTGTTAAGTTATTTAACATCATACATACTAATAACAAAAAACATAAGTATGATTCTTGACCTTTGGACAACCACATGGGCGTCTCTGGGAATCAGGTTGGACCTTACCTTTTGCATATTTAGCATCATGATTTTGTGTACAGTTTTGATAATTTTCAGGATTTGGCCTCCCTGGGAAAATAAGCTGTCTCTCGCACGTTCTTCAAAACTTTACAATAAAGTTCCTTGGCTTGAATAAAAGCGTGTTACCTGTTAACAGCAAAAGGGAAAATAGAGCGAAACAAGCTTTTATTTGAAAACTTGAGACGATCGTTTAAAGGTTAAGAAGTGTAAGACGTTTCATTTGCCATCAGAATAAAATTATTTATTTTTATGATAAAAGCTTGTCTTTTTTAATCTACCATCATATAAAAATTTTAAGTTGTACCCGTATTGTGTTGTGAGCATACGAGTAATTAGAGTTGTTTTGCTTGAAATTGATAATGTAATGTTTTGGGAAAAAATGGTATGCTATATTCATATTTATCCACAGTAGGAACAATTAAAAAAAAGTTTACCAAAAACAAAATCTTCATCAGATGGTCTCGTAAATTATATCTGGGGTTTTTATGTCTTTGTTAACAAAATAGCTATATTTTATATAGGGCCGTCTTGCACGTACAAGGAGTAAAGGATTGATCCAAGGGCCGAACCCTGAGGGGCACCGGCTTTGATGGGCTGTGTTGCAGACAGAACGTTGTCAATTTTGATCATGGCAGATTGTCATCTAGGGTCTAAATACTTGGAACTGTCCTTCAATTGTGTCACTTATGCAAGAACCACTTTTACTGTAGGCCATAGATTTATTTAAGTTGAAATGAAATATCAACCTCGTGTCGCGTTTTCTTATATGTTCATCTCTTCTATCGGCAAGCATTCCTAAGCATCCTCAAACATGTGATACCGCTGGCGCGAAGTTTGATAGTGAGGCATGGAGAGAATCCTATCTTGGATATGTGTCTGGAGAAAAAAAGGTTTCGGAAGAAGACTATCTGATGTATCCATTGCAAGTAGATTCAGTCAGTATAGTACTTGCAGTACTGGTAGTGTCGGTTCTAGGGGTAGTAATATATCTATATCCAGTCTTCAGAAGTTCAGGAAAGAAGTTATCCGAGATCATCACAGGACAGACCTCGGTGAGTCTCTTATAAATATTACCACCACCGACTGCCTCAGAAAAGGGTTAGGTGTTTCGCGCGTGTGTTTGTGGACAAGAATAATTCTATTTGACGACCTATAGCCCGAACGGTTTGATGAATTTTTAGGGGCTGAAAAACACTTTAGCGGAAATTGCAAATATTTTGAATATAGAATACCGTTTTATAAGCTATTTTTTTAACACAGAAGTATGCTCTAAATTGTTTGATTATAACATACACTATCTAGTACAGTGACAATATTGAAGGCAATAATGAAATTTTGTATTCTTTCTATGAAGAAAATGATTATTGTTAAGTAATCGTTTCTTTTAAGTTAAATAGTCTCATCACTACATCACTACCACTATCAGAATTGTTCCTGATTTGTCAGTTTAGTTGCACCGTTGCCAAATTGCTCACGATCACCGCTATACCGTTCGGGATTTCATGTAATTTTTAGTAAATAATGGTAGAAGACTTTTATTTTATGAATATTTTTTTGGTTTACGTATTTTTCCCAACAAAACGTACAATTTGGTAACAATTCCTTACATCTGTCAGGAAATGAAAATTGTAAACAGTTCTTATAAATGCAAAAACTTTAATGTTATTGAAACTATTCAAAAGAATTGTTAAGAACTTTCAAAGAAACACAGTGAAGAACAACAATACATCCTACTATAGCTTTCAAAAAAAAAAAAACAATTTGCGGTATGTATTTTGAGCTGTGATCTTAGCTTATTACACGGATAGTTTTGAACTCTTTTTTTATTTGCAAAAACAACGATTTTGTAGTTTCACATGTATTTTCCTCAAAAAATGACTTATTTCGATTGATTTATTCAATTCAAAAACAAAAAAGTCTGTGTTTATGCGATAAGCAGAAGTCTTGCCAATTCCTGGGCTAATCACTAGCTTAATTCAAGGTTTTAAGTTTGAATATTTTTACTTCACGGACTACAGCTGAAACACGAAAAATGGTGAAAATGAGACATTGTTTTTTTGGATGTTATATATAACATGTACATCACGAAAAACCATGTCACTCATTTCCGTCGGTCTACCTGTCCGTTAATCCTTGGCCCATCTATAACTTGGAGAGTACCGCTCGGATTTGGATCAGATTTTGAAAATCCACTTGTGCCGGAGACAAAAACCAAAAACATAAAAAGCTTGAAACGTGATTTTCAGAGGTTGAAGGGGGCGGAGAAGGGTATATCTCAATTTTTTGACGTTGATATATTTATACCCCTTTACCTCAGTAGTTCTACGCACCTATTAGACATATTTCACTCATCATAGATACCCTTAAAACTTATATTAACAAATAATAGTTTTAAAAAACTAAAAAAAAACTCGCTTTTATAGCTAACCGAACTAAAAAGTAGAAAATGATGTTTAATTACAAAGAGTTTATATTACAGTAGTAGATGGTCGAACAAACAATCATATTTAATGATCTCAAAATAAAATTTAATTTATTAACAGAATAATTCAATTCAGAGTAAAAAACATGGGGTGCTTGATATATTAAATGTTACAATCATTCTATTGGCATCTGTCTATGAGAGAAAAGTTATGAAAATGTAGTAAAATGCACCCCACGCTTTTTACTCTGAATTGAATTATTCTGTTAATAACTTAAATTTTATTATAATTTTATGTTGAGGTCATTAATTATGATTGACTGTTCGACCTTCTACTACTGTAATAAACTCTTTGTAATAAAAAATATTTTCTTTTTTTTAGTTCGGTTAGTTTTTTAGTTTCTTTAAACTATTATCCATCTTTCATGTTTTAGTTCGATTTATCAATTAGTTTTTTGTGGACATGTGGTATTGAAATGTCTCACGAATCATTTCGTAATCTAATCATTTCATTTAAAGCTTCACTGTTGCATAGTGTTTTTCCTGTTAACTTAGAGCAATTAAGTTCTTCAATCCGAATACCGTCTAAAAATCTTACACGACTAAGTGCTACATAAGCTTGTCCAGCAGCAAACAGTAGCGAGCCTAGATAAATGACTGCATGATCGACTGTAGAACCTTGCATCTTGTGGACGGTCGAAGCCCAACTCAGGATTAATGGAAAAATTGCACTACCTCCGTTGCGCTGTGCCAAGAGCCCAAATCAAGAAGAGTAAGTCCGAAACTGCACGCATGCGCAGATCGCGCGCGCTAGCTCTATGTCTCTTACTCCCCTACAGAGGACCTATAAAAGAATTTATCAATCCCTTCGGTCCTAGTAAGGATAATGGAAAACTGTTATCAAATTATTCCGTTGTCATCGTTCCTTGATACGTGTGCGAAGTTTCTGATTAATCAAACTTCTGGAAATTGGTATGCATACAGACCAAGCTAATAAAAGCGTATTAAAAAAAGAGTAGGGTATTTAAGCTTTTTGAGATTGCCGAATAACTTTGGATCAAACAAACTCATCATATCGTTGGTGTAGCCAATTATGCCACAGCGAACAAAAAGCAAAATTACAAACAGCAGCATGAAATCAGTCAGTGGATCTATTGCTCAAAAGAAGAAGACTTAATGCACAAGCCCTTTACAGAAGTCAATACAAAAAATATTCACAAAAAACACAGGCAATGAACCCAAAAAAATTAAAAATCTCCATCGAACAATTTCATTTCAGCGAACTAACTATCCTTTACGCGTGATTTCGAACCCAAAACGCGCATTTCTTACTAGCCCTCCAAAAAATCACACCCTATTAGAAACCAGTCAAAACGCACACATTTGCAACAAGAAAAGCGTATTGTCACGGGGCACTATGGTATTGAACTTATCAGGATCTTTAGAGAATCTGATAATGTTGTATGCAGTGTTGAGCTTATTCACGTATGCCTAGAAAATTGAAATTACGGAAGATGAATAGTAGAGAATATAAACTGCAATTGTAGCAAACATTTATAATAAGGATGAAAGGATGAATTTGTTATATTTTTTAAAGCATAAAACAAATGCTAGCAGCAGTAATATTTCTTTTGAAAATTGAAATTGGTAATTAACTAAGATTCCGCTACATACATACATACATATAGGCCAAGCTTATAGAAGCGTGTTAAGAATATCGCCCAACAACCGCATGTTGGTACGTGCAACGTGGTCTGGCTGATGATTATGCGTCGCAGTCGGCTTACAGTTGTGGGCTCTATCCTGTGAATGTCAATATCGTTATCCTCGCGGGATTAGTCATAGCAACGATCATGTGCGCCCACAGGAATTTCTCTCAGGGGGAGGGGGACTGATTTAATTTGGTTATACATTCGTAGCTATCTTATGTCTCAGAAGGGCTAACTTGTGCCGAACATAATCTGTTGCATGGAAAGTACAGAGTCAATTTACTTGACGCCATTTTTTCCTATTGGGGTGCATAACAATCATACAAACCTAGTTAGTAGAACCATACGGATATTTATATAAGTGCTCTGTCGATCTAGTATATTTATTAATAAATCTTAGACATACACATGTGCGATAGTAAGGCTAGTCAAAAAGTGATTTGACGTTATGTAAGTCAACTTCATAAACACTAGTTTATTTCAAGAGCCGCAAACAGCGAGCGCGAGTTGAGAGTAAATTGAATTTTGGGCGTGCTCTGAGAATATTGAAAATGAGATAAATTCTTCAAGCCAAGGTTATTTTTGAAATCTTGCTCTGGCTGGATTTTTTAAACAAGGGAATTTTATTAGTGTAGTCAAACTGCAGGTAGACGAAACAATGCAAGAAAGAGGAAAAAATTCAGGGTTACTAAATTTTGTGGCAACTAAATATCAGTTAAATGCTGAGTAATGTTACGTTACTTATCCGAAGAAAAATGTTTTTTTATTTGTATTAATAGAAAACATAAGTTTTGCTCAAATACAACAATAATGGGACATAACAGAACGGAAACAAGTAGATGTAGTCTGAAACATTGTTTCCCAAACATGAATATAAATCTGTTTTTACTTCCTTCGCCACTTGCGAGGAAGTACTGTAATCGCGAAAATGATATCTGTTTGTATTGATGTTATATGACACGTACTTCACGAAATACCATGTCACCCATTTTCGCCGGAATGTATGTCTGTCTCTCCGCTAATTATTGACCCTGCTGTAACTGGGAAAGTATCAGTCGGATTTTGATGAAATTTTTACACAAGGTTACTACTATGCCACGGACAAAACAGCTTGTCATGTTTTAAAAATCGATTCGGTGGCAGCGGAACTTCGGGAAAATAAAGTGAAATATGAAAATTGCATTTTTAAAAAAATTCTTAAGGGTTAAAATGTTGAGTGGTGGAGGGTTGTAGGGGGATGTGAGGATATATCTCAATTTTTTGACGTTGGTATACCTACTTAATACGTCTCTAGCCGCAACAATTCTATGCATATATTAGACATACTTCAATCATATTAGATTTACTCGTACATATATCCATAAAACTTAAAACGATGGAGAAATATTTATGACCCTCGCGTGTGGATTCTTCGCGGTCCTTCCGATGCATGTGCGTAGAAGTCGGCTGCCGCTGTTCGACTGCTATCGCTAAATATACTCCTAGTTTAGATCGGATGTGCCCGCAGGAATTTTTCTCAGGAGAAAAAGACAAAAGATAAATTTGTGTGAAAGTGTACCAGCCTCCAAAACCAGCATATTACGTATATATCTCTGGAGCCGAATCCTAAATTTTAATTGTCTGAACATGTTTTGATGAAATTGAGCTAAATCAGACTGTAGCGATGGCAATACTAAACCAAGGTACAAAATCTATATAAGATCTGCGAAAAACTCATGATTTTTTTGAGTTTTCAGCAGTTAAAGTTCCTAAATTACATTTTTTCATATTTTTTCTCACGCGTAGAATATACTGTATTTTTTTCAATACTAACCTGAGAAGTCGCCATTATTTACAGCATTGCAGCAATGCAGGTACAGGGCACACATGTTTCCGACATTATATTTAATGAATAATAGTTTGAAAAAACTAAAAAAACACG